TATATATATATATATATATATATATATATATATAATGACATATATTAGCACCGTTAAGCCAGAAGAGATTTGGAAAAAACACACTAAAATAAATGAAAACCATCACTGATAGAATTTTTCAAAATTTTATGAGCTTATAAATTTAAGCACTGTTACCTTTTACAGTACATATGAGCCCTGTTTATAGAAAGGATAATAAAAGCTAAAATTTAACAGAGTGCATCGTCTCTGCATTTGAGTTGATGAAGCAAGATTTAGTAGTCGGGTATTTCTTCCAGAAGAGAGAATTAGCAAATTTGAAGCTTTTTCATTATTTAATAAAAATTCCCGGCTTGTCCTGTGACTGCGTGGTACTGTTGCGTAATTATCTTTGCTTCTGAAAACAGAGTTCCAAAATTTTTTTTAATCAAAAGTACTCGTCATTGTTTTGTTGCCGAAATAAAATATAAATACATACTTTATACCGGCATAAAACAATAAAATTACTACATATTTTGCATCCATATCTGTATACATATTTATTCATCTACTTGTTTATTTATTTTTGTTCATGTTTGTATAAGCATTGCGAGTCCTAACACAGTATGTTTGATCCTTTGCCCGGTCCAAAAGTGTTTGTAGTTGGGTTTCTAAGACGTTTTCAATACTGCGCAAAAAATCGTTGACTGTTTTTTCTAGAAGCCAAAACTGGTTTCAAGAAAGTTAGAAAACTAGAATTTATGCTGTTTTTTCTTTGAATGTGTCCACCATTATTTGAGTGTACAGCTAGCGGTATTTACGATGGCTGTTGACAACCACTGATTTTCAGAGAGTTACTAAAAACAAAAATTGTTACAAAGTTTTATTCTAGTCGTTATTGTGCTAGATCACAGTATGGATAAGAACGTAGACTAAAGATTTATTGAAACTTTATTTAACACAGTGATGAGACTTATTGAGTTTTTTTTTTCATAAGAATTTAAAGCTAAAAACGTCTACAGATTAACTATAACTGTCAGTCTAAATTATTGATTAAATTTTATAGAAATGCAAACAGACTGATTTGGAGGCACTGTTTGTCTTCCTA